GAATTTAATTAAAACTTAAATCACACGCTGAAATAATTTAGTCTAAAAACTATGTCAATAGCTTTTTTTTTTTTTTTAATTTTATTTACTTTGTTGTCCCCTCAAGTGACAGCAAATTCTAAACTGCTAAAGTCCTAGTCTAGGATGAATATTGTGGGAGAGTCAAAGAGTCAAGGCTCAGTTTTTATGACATCATTGCGCCAGATAAGAACAGTGGTCAACCATTCTATAAACAATTATTAGGTTTACAGGTAAAATCCACCACTTACCCCAAGGTTGCTGGAACTTGTTGGAAAGCTGTGTATGGCCTAATTTAGGGTTATGTCTCCCATGGGCAAGGATGTGGTCCCTCAAGATACTGTCTGGTGTACATACATCAGATCCACTTGCCAGGCTTGTTAGAAACCCAGGCTACTATTTATCTCCTTAAGTTTTTGTTGTGGCTGGTTTGGAGTGAGTTGGGGACTACTTAGGGGATTTGCTGTTGATGGTCCACCTAAGGTCCTCACTTGGGGAAGCACTGCTTTATTATAAGTGTCCACAGAGAAAGAAAGTACATTCTCATGATGGGTGTGGCAGAAATGTTTATTTTTATCCATGAAGATAATCTCATGGCTGGATCATGAGAACCTTCATTAATATAACCAATCAAAATAGTTGTTAGTTAATCCAGGGATACAAAGCTATCTAGTCAAAGCTGAGTTGTTAGATGTAGAGGAAGAAAGAAATCTCTATCATTACAAAAAAAAAAGGTTTGAGCAAAAGTGCTGGGTTTGTTTGCACAAAATAAATGTGGGGGCAATTGGTAAAAACTTGGATAATTTTGGCTTGAAATTAAAGATGACAGATCGATCCACACTTTTTTTTTATTAAAACAGTTTATTTTTACATTATTTTGTGCCTTTTCCCATCTCAGTTGTAATCTCTGTGGACTTACCATCACCAATTCACCTGTGCACTCCCCCCAACCCCCACTTTTGATCCCATTCCCACTCCACCCCCGTAAAATGTCTCTGGCATATAGTTGTTCATTATTATTTCTCTACTCCCGTCCTTTATACTTTATACTCCTACAAGTGAAACCACACTTTTTTTTTTTAAATGTCTCCTGAAAAGAACAGTAGAATAACCTGTAGAATCTATAGAAATAAAAGGATAGAGGAGGGTCATCGGCAAAAGTTATGTTTCACACACTTCTGTAAACCGGGTGGATAGAAGATTGGAAAGTACTTAACAGTAGTGCAGATTCTAAAGTCATCTTAGGGGTCAGTATGGAAACCCAATTACCCTACAAAATCCCAGAGTGGTCTGGGATGCCAGCAATCATCAGGGGGACATGTGATGAGAGGCCCCAGGAAATGCAGGAGAGTGAGAGGCAGCAGGTTGAGTGAATGTGGGTGTATAGGGGAGGATTGATTCTTTCCCATTCTGTGCAGCTGGCAATTCCACTTCCAGCAGGAGAGACACTGTACCCAATGACAGAGAGAAGAGGCTGGAACAGGCATCTATGAGAAAGCAAAAAACAAGAAAGACTGCATACTAAACATTGACTCACTGGACCTCTTTCCCTGAACTGCTTCCAAAATATCCATAGCCAGGTGAGTTTTCCCTCAGGCGAGAGATGGCAGATATTTCTCTTGAGAAACTGAACAGCCCCAAAGGAAATACCTCTAGTTTCTGACCTTTGGGAGCGCCTATAGAAAGATGAGCTTTCACCTGATCACCACAGAGAAAACCCACCGGTGAACAGGCACGCTCTCTCCCACTCTTTTACACAGGGTTTCTGGTGGGTCTTACTACCGCACTCTGAAGTATGAATGTAGAGTCAAAGATTTGCAGACATCTAGTGAAAACATCCCATATGATGCAATTTCAATAAATATGAAATTTCAGCATGTTAGAGGTAAAGAGATTATTCCACAAGTTTCTATAAAGGAAAGAAAAGTTCTAAGTCATAAAGTAGTGGGAATCAGAATGGCATTAGAATTCACAACAGCAATACTGGATGCTAAAAAAGTTAAAGGAGCAATTTTTATTAGTTTATGGATGAAAAACTTCAACTTAATTTTACACTTGGTCAAACTCTCCATCAAAAGGGAGATGTGATGACAGGCCCCAGGACCCCGGAAGTGCCAGGGAGTGAGAGGCAGCAGGTTGAATGAACGTGGCTGTTTGGGGGTGGATTGATTCTTGGGCCACCTTTCCTACTCTGTGCAGCCAGACTGTTGCATAGGGGTAGTGCATTATCAGTGACTACAAATAACATACAAATACTATACACATATATTGTTTTTCTTTTATATTTATATTTATAAAATCTTTAATCTATGCACAGAGTCTGTGGGTTTGCACAGACATTTTAGGTTTTACCTTTTATACTCTTTTTGGGGAAGGACTGTAACTGGAACACTTGCCTTGGAAAACAATTAGGTAATAGATGTTATTTTGTGGTTGACAACTTTAAATGTCAATTTTAAATGGTCTATGAGAACCCTATTCTTCACTAATCTAACCAGCGAAAATAGCAGAATTCAAGAAAGAAGGCGCAGGGCAAAGAAATGGAGTCTGTACTCTGAAGATGGAGTGTTCTCGGATGACTGAGTACTAGGGTAAGTAGGACAACTGAGCATTTTTCTTTCTGGGATCTGAAGACATGCCCATTGCAACAGGACAGAAGACATTTTTTGGTTTGTTTTAAATTATATATATATTTACATCATTCTTCCATTTGGTACAATGCATGCTTTCTTCTCCCAGGTGCAGTCTCTGTGTGATTCTCACTGCCAATTCACCCAGGTGCCATCACCACAGTCCCTGTGCTCTTTCCTTTCCTGTTTTGATCCTTATCTCTACCTTCCTCCTTACAGAATGTCTCTGATTTATAGTTGTTTTTTAAATTTGTTATTATTTTTTTCTGGTCCCTTATTTGTTTCCCCTTCATTCCTCCTATAAGTGAAACCATCTGACATTTTTTTCCCCCTTTCTGGCTTATTTAACTGAGCATAATGCCTTCTAGATCCATCCATGTTGCCACTAATGGCATGAGTTTATCTTTTTGATTGCTGAATAATATTCCACTATATTTATATATCTATGTATCCATGTCTATATAGCACATCTTCTTGATTCAGTCATCTATTTTTTTGGCATTTGAATTGTTTCCATAGCTTACGTATTGTAAATAGAGCTGTATTAAACATAAGAATGCAGGTGTCCCTTTGAATTAATGTTTTTGTGAGGAAAGAAGGCTTTTTGCAGGAATTTTTCCAGGGAAAATAGGAAATTGATCCTTTGGAAAATAAATTTGACAATTATTTGATAGGTGCTCTACAAAAAATATCAGGATGGATGCATAATAAATACAGTACATAGATAAAAGATTTTATAAAAGTAAATATCAAAGAAAAGCAATCATACTAGTTTCTGTTGTGTATGGCATTTGTCGTCACTGATTAAGCACTACCCCTGAAAAAGAGCTATGTTAGAAGATGCAAGGGAAAACTGGGTGGCGTGTAAAGAGTTAAATCCTTATCTAAGGCAATAAGTGGCCAAAACATAATATCTACATTGGTAAATGAAGAGAACTGTGTGAATTATTTAGAAAAAGGGATGTAAATGCCAGAGACAGCTAAAGGTGGAATGTAATTGTCTCTAGAAAGGGGTGAAGATGGTAAAGGAGAGGTAGGTACTGTATTATCTTAAAACATCATCTTTAGAAACTGAGTGTGCTTACTTTGTCTTCATAAGCTAAACTTTTGAAATTCATTTGCCGAAGTGAAAGCATGGACCAACTATGCCTTGTCTCATAATATAATTTTCAGGAAGTATCTGATCAGTAAAAGTTAAAATAGAAGTATCGACTCCAGCACCTTGTACAACTTGGAATGAAATATAGTGAGCTTTTCATGCTCTCCTTCTTTCTGCTACCATTAATATATATGGACTAGAGTTCTGTCAGAACTTCCACAAACACTCTTTAAAAGCAGTGGTTATAAATTACACCTTTGCTAATTCGTGTTGTTTGTAACAAAAGAAAAGGAACCACAGAAAAGTCAGTTTCGTCCTGAATTGTTTCCGTAGCAACCATATTAAGCTGGAAGGATAAAGCACCTTTGTAATTGCTGCTTCTATTGAATTGCAATGTAAATGTTGATGCCTGCCTAGAAACATCGAATGACAACAGGTTTATGAAACGCATTCAGTAGTTGTTTGCCCTGGAATCCCATGCTATAGTACTGAGGTGGAAGGGGTGCTCTAGGCCATCTTATTAGAGTCTATTCAAATCTCACAACATCAAAACCATGCCGACTCACCCCAGGCCCCCACTCTCCATTTTCCCAACTCATGAAAGGATGCTCACTTATTTGAAAATCTGTAATCTACCTGGTATCTTTACACATCGGGGCACGAAAAGTATTTGTTGTGGATAAGAATGTTAAAAATGCAATTACGCAACAGACCCGGCGATCTTTGAGAGCCCACCCCCAACTCCCCCACCTTTTGCGCACAAAGTAAACTTCATTCCCGTACTTTTCTGACACCGTCAAACAGTCCTCTTAATGTGGGTATTAAATGCCTCATGGCCGTGCTGAGCATTTGATTCCGGTTGGCTTGGTATACCTGAGTTCAGCCCTTGTTCGTCCTTCCGTTCGACCCACAATCCCTAGTGGTTGCAGGTGTTGCCTTTTTTTCCAGGTTCCTTTTCTCCTTCCAGGTCTCCCTACCCCCACTCCCCGGACCGGCTCCGGGAAGAAGGAAAACGTAGCGTGAAGTCTCTCCAAAGCACTGACCCTCAGCTCTCATGGGCCGCCGCAGAGGTGCAAGCGTGCCGCCGCTCCACTCAGGTAAACTTCGGAGTGAGTTACCTGCACTTGGAGAAGGGCCTTACCTGAGCGCGCCTCTGCCAATGGCAGCTCACCTGAGGGAGCCCCACAGCCAATCACCGTGCAGCTCGTCCCTCGGGCTTGTACCCTTTAGTGAAAGAATTCAGCTCCTTGCGAGAAAGTTACCTGTGGCCGCCCAAGTCCGCCACTTTCTGCTCTGTGGCTGCCCATTGCCAGCAACCGGGAGGACTCCGCGCCGCCCGGCCGCCTCCGAGCTCGGGCCCCATGTGAGGGCCCCCCCCCTTATCCCACCTTTCCGGCTAGGTGAGGGCGCGAGCGGGCGAGCGAGCGAGAGTGGTGAGGGGGGACGGAAAAGCAGAATTACCTGTAGCTCTTGTTCTGCCATCTCGGGCGCTCTCACACACCTTCACCTGCACAGACTTGAAAGTCCAGTTTCACCAGAGGCTGAGGCTCCAGGAAAAGGGGAGCGAGTTCATTGGATCAAACATGTCACAAGAGTCGGACAAGTAAGTGGATCACACGCGCCGGCTGCTGCTACTACCACTTTGGGCTGATGGCAACTGGTTTGTTATGTTTTTTTTTTTTTAAGTTGCTATTGTTGATATTTTTTCTTTCTTTTTTTTTTTTTTCCTTTTTCTTTTTGGTGTATCCAAACTTTTCCAGATAATGTTTCTACCCTAGTTAAGGGAAGAAACGCTACAAGAATGTGAATGTTTAATACCCCCTGTGGGCCTGATGGTAAAAGTAGGTTTTCCTCTTTTCTTCCTCCCTTGCGAGTGAGCTCAGCTCTGGCCTCCCAGGACGAATAATACTCGGGTATTGACAGAGGTTTTGGAAATGAGGGTGGGGAGGCCTGCTATTCCCCCTCCCTTTTAATACCTCCCATCGCCTCAGAATACTGGGGCCATTTGGAAATTCAGTTGAGTTCCTTCGATTTATCCAAACGGCCTGCTGGAAAAGCGGGTCTTGGCTGCTTTTTGTGTGCGAGCAACAAAGAGCCTTTATACTGAAGCCGAAACGGCCATCTTCCCGCACTTGGGCCGGCAAGTGTGCGTGTATAAGCGCCCGCGTGTGTGCCCCCGACGGGAGGCGAGAACCGGCGGCGCCTAGGGTCTCGGGGTCACCCGGCGCCATCCCCCACCCCCACCCTCCTTTACTCCCACCCCCCTCCGTCGGCCCCCCATTGTTCCACCACTTTATGCAGGTGCAAGAGAACAGGGCCTTTCAGTAATGAGGGGAACTGATTTGAAGCCCGGACTTGGCGCCTCAGGAAGGCAGAAAAGGGCGCCTCCAACTTATCGAGCCACCCTCGTCGGGGCTGCTGTAGCACGTCTCCGCGAGGCCGAAGGCCCCTCTACGGAGGCCGCCACCTCGGGTGTGGCCACAGGGTCGGCGTGGGTCGCGTCGGGCCTCGGGGGACTCGCGGGTGGAAAGGCAAGGGTCCAGGGGGATGGGCCCAGGCTTTCCGGCCGCCAGGGCCCTCGAGGAGCGCGTCCTTCCCGTGCGGAACGGTTACTGCAGTGGCCAGGGCGAGGCGGCCTGCGCGGCCTGAGCGCGCGCGTGCCGCCGGGCCCGGGTCCGGTCTCGTCCAGGCTCCAGGCAGCCTCCCAGCAGGCCTGGCCTCCGCCTTTAGAGCGGCTTTGTGCTCGCCGGGGGAGGTGGGGCCGAGGGCGGGAGCCAGAGGGAGCCGGAGGTGGGTCCTGCGGCCTTTCTTGGGATTCGTGGCGACACTCCCTTCCCCCTCTGGGACACGTCCCGGGCTGGAAACTGGCAGTATCCTATTGGAAGTGCGTAGAGGCCACCGTTTTGATTTTCCTGCTAACTATTTACACGTCGTTGTGGTCACCCCAAAGAGACTTTCCTGAGAGTGTCTCTGCCGCCGCCTCACTTGTGAAGGGGACCCGGGACCAGTCCCAAGTTGGTGGACCCCGAGGGGGAAGAAAAAAGACCCTGAGGACCTGTCCAGGGATGGGGGGCAGGGCGGGAAGGATGATCCTCAAAGTAAAGCCGCTGGTAGGGTAGGCGTATCACAACACATGCTGTCATCCTTAAATAAAAAAATCTACCAGCTATTAGTACCACTTTACCCGCCAACGAAAAGTTAAGTGCGTGTTGCACCGGAGGGGAAGAACTAGTGTTGCAAACACTGGAAGAGGGTAGGCGAAGGGGTGGGGAGAAGAATGTGTATTATTGTAGGAGTGTGTCTCCACGCCTACCCCTAATTCTCTGCAGCCTTTAAGAAATCACTGCTAGAGTTTGGAAACGTCAGTAGCCCCAAACCGAGGGGACAGCAGCCTTTTGGGTTTTATTTTGATTATGTCAAAAATGGTCGCAAATCTAGTGAATATAGGCTAAGGTTTATTGTAATTCCGTAATTAAATCACAGTGAACTGTTGACTGTGCGGCTTAGTTTTGTAATAGAATATGAATTAAATGAATTCAGAATGAAAACGGATTGGTTTTTATTGTAACCTGTTTATATTTAGCACCAATATGGACAGTTGAAAATAAGTTGCAAGCCTAGCCGTTTGGTTTCACTACGAGGAATTACCTAATTTTATGGCCAATAACTGTGTGGGATTAAGTGTACTTACATTTAATGAAAGCAGTTTTTATCTAGTCATGGTTTCCAAGCCTTAATTTTGTATCCTGGGAAAAGTAAAACGAACATTTCTTGCCTAGGCCCTAGGACTGTTGAGAAATGCTTAAAATTAATAAGTGATATTTGATTGTTTTTGCATATTATAGCCTACTTTTTTAATGTGAATATTCTAGTGGAGGACTGGTAGGGGTCCTCCAGGTTTTGTAAGCCCCTAGTTATGCGATTGTGTTATGTGGGGTGGGGTGCTATAGGCAAAAAAAAAAAAAGATCCTGTAAGTGACGCCCCCCAGGCTTCCTGCAAGAACAAGCAAGGGTCCTGAAGCTTGAGTTTTTACCAGCTTTAGGGTACATTTATCCTAGCAGAATAAATATATTTTCTGGAAATAACCTAAAAGAATACACATAGAATACTTTTACATAAACCCATCAAACTATAGGTAATCTTTTAGATAGCAATAGGACAATAGTTTGAGTTAGCAAGTCTGGACCCAAGTAGCATCATTTTTTTTTTTTTTTTTGTTACAGTTGTGAACTTTTCAAATTGGGATGTTCTGCTTTTTATGCTCCACAATGTTGATACAATTATTGCTAGTAAGAACAAAATATTTTAGGAGAGTGGGTACATACTCAGTTTTATGATTTTATAAATTTAAAATTTATTCTTAAATTTATAAAGATTTATGACCAACAAGCATGCCCATTATAGCAAAACAGTGAACAATTTAGACTTATTCTTTTACTGCAAAATACATAAAACATAGTCTGAGTATAATATATGTTTTAAATGTAATAAATTTTCTGAATATATTACAGATTAGTTATTCATATATTTATAACATATTCTATTTGATACCCACAGGTATTTTTCTACATTTAAATATTTTTCTATATTTAAATATTTTTGTTTATTTATGATACAGGAACTGTAGTGTAGGTAGAGATACAGGGGTTGAGAGGACTCAGCAGAAACAGAGCTGGGAGCCAAACAGGCAGATCCACTGAAATACACTGTTGAGGGAAGCAGCAGGCAAGACTGGTGAAGTCTGCCTTTGATACTTGGGTCAGCTCCCTGGCCAGGAATGGAACTCTTGATAGCACTGAGACTTTAACCCCTGTACCACCAGAGAGGCCCCACACAAGTATTTTTTATTACATAAATGTTTTCTAATTATGTACTATTGGCAACACTTTTCAAAGAGGTATTACAGGAGAATAAAGTAATATATAAGTTGGGCTATATGGTGATATTAGAACAGACTTATTTTTAATTAAGGAGAACTGGTAAGTGCCTTAAAAGTAACAAAAGAACGCTGTATTTGTCATGCCAAAGTATATCAGTTCCCTTTCTTCCTACCCCCCTCATTTTTGCCTAGCACAATTACATTTAGTCATTCCATGTGTTTTATTCTGTTCAAGGTTATTAGTAGCCTATGTGGATAACCTTTCAAGTAATATGATAAAATATTTTAATCAAATTTTCTATTCTTTGATTTTGTAAATGCATCTATTTATTTCCATTTGGCTATGTAAGATGTCTTTTTAAATTACAAATATTAAGAGTTAATCATTTTCTTCAAACAACTGCAAATACCCATTCATGTATTTCACAAATATGTCTTGTCACTATTTGCTGGGCATTGATCTTGGCATAGAGGTTCACTAACAAATAACTCAATGTCCCTGCCCTTTTGGTGCTTGCATACTAGTTGGGGAGAACATAGTAAATTTATCAACAATTAGATGGTGATAAATGGTATGAAGGAAAGCAAAGAAGACTAAAAGGGTTGAGAATAATGGAAACTATTTTATGGAAAGTCTTCAAGGATGGCCTCTTGGATGAAATGACCTCTGATTAGGGACCTTAAGGAAGTTGGAATCACGCATTGAGGATCCACCTGGGACGAGAGTTATAGGCAGTTGGGATGAGACTTATAGGCGGTTGGGATGAGTGTTATAGAACATACAAAGGCCCCAGGAAAGTGCTTAGCATGTTTCAGGACCAGAAAAACACCTGGTGTGGAGTCATCAGGGAAGTAGAGAAATGATAGTCCCATGAGGTAAACTAACATAACCAATCCTCTACTTAGACGTCCAGATATTTGTGGACTCAAAACAGATAAAAAAAAAAAATTCTTATATTCCTAGCAGTCAAGTGGTGAGTAAAGAACGAATATGTTAGTGTCATTCCTACCCCTGTCCCTGAGAATCACCAGTTTCACTGTAATGGCCCTACAATGAGTTCATTTCTGTACACTCCTTAATTTAGAGATGAATAGATACGCAGATTCTAAAAGACCCCTTGGAATTAGAACTGAAGAAGAAATTACAGATAGTGCTTACTCTGACATTTTCACCTCCCAAAAACATTTAATTTAACCTACTACCCTTTCACATTAGCCTCCTACGAAATAACTCTTGCCCTTCTAAAATATCTATTATCCATCAGAAAACACAGTGTACATGAAAGTGAGACCTTCAAGCAGTGTGTTTTGGTTCGTTTTGCATGCTCAATGAAGTAAGCTAATACGCAGGCAAAGTTAATCTACTTGAAAAATGAGGAAATTAGAGAACAGCATGAAAATTTAGATTGATTTTAAAAAAGTTGAAGATACTCCATATGCACTTAATAGTAGTAGCCACACGGTTTTTTTTCTTTTAAATCACTGCTTACTAAATTTATCTGATTACAAAAGTCTCACTTGGGGCACTTAATGAAGCTCCAAATCCCTGGGTTCTGTCCCGGAGCTGTGGAATTATTTTTTTCAGAAGTGTGGCTAGGGCATCTGCCTTTAAATAATGTCCAGGTATGTTGATCTGTGGGGTTAGTTGGAGAAATAGTGCTTTACCCGAGAAATAGTGCTTTAAGTGAGTACCTAACATTACTTTAATTCAATTTTATTTCTA